TTTTGGGCTCAGGTATTACACTTAAAGTGTACTTTTTGAGACCAACCTCTTTTCTTGAATAAGAATATTTGTTAAGCCTGAATTTTAGATTCTTTAGGTAATTTGACTCCTTATATTGTACCACTTTTTGAATATTATCAATACATTTCTGGATGTAGGTTTACTTATATTCACAATAATGTTTCAATTCCATAACATAGCTACTCCTATCTCATCATTGTTTTCCTAAACATATGAGACAAATCTTTTAAATCTTAGGTAGGCTTCTCAAACCACTCTAGATCTAAATGGTTTGCCTTACATTAGTCTAGGGTTTTAGAACTAAGAATTACCATAATGAGACTATTATTTTAGTAACATATAACTAGTTTAATCTTATCATCAGAAAAATATATATGACTTCGGGTATTGAATAGGCTTTATAAGTCTAACTTTAACAGTCCTTTATGTCTAAATAAAACAAGAACCATTAAAATCCTAATCAATTAAATCACACTCGTTAATTTCAGAGTTGAATATTTAAGAACATGTTTGATAAGTTGGGAGCCCTTAACCTAATGATCAATCGATGCGATACCATTAAAATCTCTTACAAGTATTTAAGGATCGTTAATACTCTTCACAAGCTCTCTTAAGGAATTTCAAAATGCCCTTCTCTTATTCTTTTTATAGTTAGCATATTCTGCCATGAGTACGTAACATGTGTTTATAAGATTACTTTCCTAAAAATTTAAAACAAAAAATTGACTATGTCTAATAGTTTATAAGTTAAATAATAACTAAATCATAATTTGAAATTTTCTATACTATTTTTTTTTATGTTTTATTTTTAGTACTGTTAAATTTTAATTATTTATTTTTAAGGACGAAATCTTATCCATCGTTTTAAAAAATTTTACGTACCTAGCCATTTAAAAAAAAAAAACCCGAAAGGAAAATATTTCTAAATATTCTAAATTTAGAGTACTAATTTCATTTACCTAGCTATTTTATGTCCTCTAATTTCTAAATTTTAGAGTATTAATTTTATTTTTCATAGTATTACGTTCAAAGATCGTTGCTTCCTCCAATCTTCAAACATGATTGTGTCTTCCTCTATCCATATTTTGAAATGTTAATTACATTTTGAAATATTATCATTTTTATATTTGGGTATATGTTAATTACATTTGAATTTATGTGTGTTGTTATTTTATTGGTTAACCATTCAAAAAGAAAAAGAATCTTTGACATATTACTTGGCTACATATATATATATATATATATATACTATACCATATTATATTATATATTATATTATATTACATTATATATAAGAGGGTGTTAATTGAGAAAAAAATAAAAAGTGTCTGTGACATGTTGGCTTCAATACTGGGTCCAGCTATTCTTTGGGAAATGAGCTTTTGACTTTTCTTTAAGCATATAGATTAGGATAGAAGATAAGTACCAAAACTTCAGCTCTTATTTTTTATATACTTCCACTTCCACTTGCAATATTTTTTTTTCTAAATAAAAAAATTACATGTTAAGGTCATTTGGTAATTAAAAAAAAAAATTTCATTTGATTTTACTATAATCTTCATGAACTTATAAGCTTTAACATCCTCTTCTGAGCTAAAAAACAAAAAAACAAAAGTCAAAACCAAGCCATATCTAAAAGAACTACTTATATGACTTGTCTTCTGGTTATATTAAGCTTATAAGTTGGTTTGATAAGAAAATGAGTCAAAGCAAACACTTCTATACTCTTCTTTTGCTCATCCCTAAACTACGATGAAGTGGTTATATATGATGAACTACCAGAAATAAGATTTTTGCTTCATTATTACAGGCCTGTAAGCTTGACATATTAAGAAGAGAGAAGAGTTACTTGGGATTGAGGTTACATTCTGCAATCTTCTCCCAGGATCTGAGAGTTTTATCCTCAGTATCTGTTTTATACAACGCAAGGCGACTTACTGGGAAGCTTAAACTACTAATGCCGTCATCAAGATTGTTGGCTCTCTCCTCAGCCTTTTTCTTCTCTTCCTCTGTAAGGTCTGCATAGAGGAGGCTCAAATGCGGCATGTAAGCTGCAATTTCATTAGTCAAGCACCATTAAATCGTCTTTTCAACCCTTTGTGTATTCCATTATCGAACAACAAGAATCGCTTTATGGTATATTTGTTTCGGTCTGGAAATTTTCAATTCTTAAAGTGACGAAAATAAAACACATTGCAATTGGCAACCAGATTTAGGTCTTGAAATGGGCATGATAATTTCATCTAGTTCTCTTTTATCATTTACAAAACATAGCAAAACAATCATACCAAACTCAGGCAGACGCATAGCAAGCTTAGATAATTATCTATTTCAGGTACATGCACTGCTCCAAGTAAAGCCAAGCACTCATGTTTGGGCTTTTCAGACATGAGAATTTGATAAATAGGTCATGAATGAAAGTCTTTCGCAATTATGATTAGTCATCTTCCACATAATGTTTCCACCTTGAACAATGTTTCCAACGCAAATTCATAAAAACTCAAATCACAATGTTTCCTAAAGATACATTACAAGTACACTTAAAATCCCACTACAAATAAATTTTATGAATACAAGTGAAGTCTCACATCATGGGGGAAACATCTTAACAAATTACTAAAAATTCTCTAACTTATCTCTGCACCTCATTAAGATCCCATTTCCTCCAATATGAAGCAGAAAAATCTCAAATCCTTTCAAAATCATAATAACATTAAGATTTCAGTATTGTCATCTTATTGGGATTGAGTTATGTTCTTGGCCTCTTGTGGACTGAAGTGCGATTTTCAAGGATTTATCTATATCTGATTTGAAGATGAATTAGGAAGCTCTTCTAAGGTGAAATCTTTCCTGTTCTGTATTTTACGTCTCATTTTTTTTTAATTAATAAAATCTTTTTTCTAATGAAAACTGAAATAAAGTAAAACTAAGCAAATTTAAAACATAAAAAACTTACGCGTAGAGCTCTTGTAACCAAAATGGCTGGTGCAGTGAGCACTAGCTTGCATTACCTGAAACAATAAGAAAATTCAGTACACAACTGCAAGTGCTAAACTTGGATTCTTTGAAGTTAATTATCAGGTAAAAGGACTGAAAGGAACATAAGGCTATGGAGAAACTAATGATGGAATTAACTAGATTTCCTTTCTCAAGCACTGGAGAATTATAAGTTTCTGAAGCTGCTCATTAACTATTTCCTATTTCATTGAATGATTGGTGCATACACCTCCTTTAGTCCCAAAATCAGACTATTATCAGATATTGAGAATTCAGAATTACTATTGCGATGGAGAATTCCCTAATTTTACTCTGTTTCATTCTA